TATATATATATATATATATACAATAAAGATTCTTGCAAAAATGATGATTAATATTTTATTTTTATTATTTTTTAGATCACACGCATAAACGTATTACATTATTACCAGATAAGTTACCGGATGATTCAAAGGTGATATTAACAAGCTTATTCTCACGAGGAGATAAAATAGATGAATTAAGTCCTAAAGAAGCTAACGATATACTTATACGGGCATCACCAAGAGATGTACGTGTTTAAAATTAAATTTTATTTCATTATACGGATATTATGTAGTACAAATATTTTTATATATTTTTGTATTTACAGTGTTTACAATCACATAATACTACACGGAAACAGAGTCAAAACGTAGCAAATACTACTGCTGTTAGTGATGACATACAAACGTGAGACTCTTATTTAATACTCAATTTTGTTTTTTAATAATTTGATATATATCGAATAAAATATATTTTATAATTTTATCTATTCGATATTTAATATTCATTTTTCATGTAAATTTATAAATATGGTTGTTGGAATTTTTTTAAAAATTTCTTTTTATAGGATAACTGTATATCCACCACCTCCTGCAAAAGGAGGTATAGCTATCAACACTGAAGATTACTTATGTCTTGCGGAAGATCAATTCTTGAATGATGTCATTATAGATTTTTATTTAAAGTATTTGACCTTAGAGGTATTATCAGAATCTGATCAACATAGAACTCACGTGTTTAGTTCGTATTTTTACAAACGTTTAACTAGCCCACATGCCCAAGCTGCCGAAAGCACTGTGCCAATGACACCTGCTGCCAAACGGCACGCGAGAGTACAGAAGTGGACAAAAAATGTCAATATATTTGAAAAAGATTTTGTCATAATTCCCATAAACGAACAGTAAGTAATCCTGTAAATTTGATTTCGTAAATGATCCTATGAATTAGGAGATACACCAGATCGTAAAATTATCGGATATCCGGACAGAATGAAACATCGGATATCTGGTATTCGGTCGAATATCCGACCGAATTCCGAGAAAATGATTTCTAAAAAAAAAGCCCATAGAGAAAAAAATTAGAATTTTGCAACAATATATAACATATTATAGCATTATGAATAAGCATACTTGTTTCTAGAACATTTATATAATATAAAATCAAAAATTTAATGATATCAAATTTCAACCGGATATATTCCTGGATATTAATGATATCCGGCTATCCGAATAGTAAAAAAAATGCCGGATACCAAATACTTTCCGAATATCCGGTGTATCTCTATTATGAATCCTATAAATTTAATAATTAAGATGTATTTCTTTATCTAATGTTCCAACTGGGTTCACTCAGAATCATAAAGATACTTATTAGCATAAAAAATTATTTTCTGCTTATAATTGCGTTTCAAGAAAAGATACCGAAAAAGATTTCGCGAAGTTTGCAATTCAGATATGTATAAATTCACACAGAAATATTTAAATATTAAGATCTGTTTAATCGGATATAGAATTTCTCTTATTTAAATATATATTCATTTTTATTGGTCCAAATTCGTATCATATTAATATTGTTTATAGCGCACATTGGTTCTTGGCTATTATTTGCTTTCCCGGGTTAGTTGGAAAAATATCCACCTGTACTGCAAAAATTAGCGAAAACTATGTTAATAAGACTCCGCAAAAAAGTAAAAAAATAAAAGAATTAAAAGCAAAAGCTGTCACAATTGGCTCTACAACAATCACTCCTGTACCAACGACCATAACGATAGATCAGTTAGATGATGATGGATCTGAGAGAGACGAAGCAGAAGGCGATGATGATGAAATGGAAACGGACAGTGACGAAGAGGTAGAATTAAATTGTATCATTAATAATTTTCTTTATTTTAAAACAGTTGGTTATAATGTAATATATTTTACATATAGGATGAGATAGATCAATCAGAAAAAAATAAAATCCAAATTAATGTTAAACTCGAAGAGCAGAAGGAAACCGTCAGGAAGTAAGCAGCACATCTATATCATGTATTTGTAATGCAATCTATTGTGATTTTAATATTTTGAATAATTTAATTTACAGTCCCTGTATATTGATATTCGATTCGCTTGCTGGTGCTAGTAGAGCACGGGTGGTCGCTACGTTAAGAGATTATTTAAGTTGCGAACATGTTGCCAAACTTGGTGTAGAAAAGACGTTCTCAAAAGATACTATTAAAGGAGCGTGCCCAAAAGTACCCCAACAATCAAATTTTACTGATTGCGGATTATATGTTTTACAATATGTGGAAAGTTTTTTTAAGGCAAATATATTGAAATATCTTTAATATTTTTGTATTATTGTATTTATTTTTTACATGTTTAATTACGTAAATTATCAATATGATTATGAGTTTATTTCTTTTTTAGGATCCTGTTAAAGATTATACTTTGCCAATTAAAACTTTGAAAGCATGGTTTGAGGAAATTGTTGTAACGAGAAAAAGGGAAGAATTATCGAATTTATTAATTAAATTGATGAATACTAAAGGGAGTAAAACTATTAACTTACCTACTGTAAATTTCCCTACGCAAGATGGCAAGTTAAAACCGAAGGTTGAAAATCAGACAGATGTTAAAACTGCGAAGTCGGAGTCTGAGAATAATAAAAAAAGATCTTCGAGTGATGCAGATACACGAATGGTCACATTTGTGACAGAAAATAATGAATCAGCTAACGAGGTCGTTAGTAGAACTTATCAGATCATTCCTTATTCATTGAGTTCTAATTCATCTGAGAGTAATTCTTCGGATATGTTGACGGAACAGAAAATGACTAGGTATATAAAAAAAAAATATACATATATATACATATATATTGGGTTGTCCGGAAAGTTCATACCGCAAAAGATTAAGATTTAAATTTAATAAATGAAATTAAAAATTTAAATCTTCTGCGT